GCCGGGCCGCGCCCGCCGCCGCCGCCGGCCGGGCCGCGCTGCGCATCGCCCGCTGCTGCCCCCTCCCTCCCGGCCGCAACTCCTCGTCCAGGCCTCTGCTGCTCCTCCTGCTCCTGCTGCTCCGGGACGCGGGAGCCCAGCAAGGTGAGTGGTGGCCAGCGCGGCCTCCTGAGACGCGGCGACACCACACCGGCGAGGCTAGCGTGCCAAGGGGCGGGGGTGGTGCGGGCAATGATGCCACCCGGTGTCTCAAGTTTGCTTCTCTATACTTTTCCGCAAGGCCATTCATTTCTCTGAAAGAGGGGACGTGAGACCCTGCCACGGAGGCCTCTTGGCTTGTCTCCTTCTGTGCTGATGGAGTAGGAAGCAAATTAGTCCGATTGGAGACAGGTAGTGATAATTGTGCTTAGGGATAGCGCCCAGGTTCTAAAGCGAGTGAGGCAAATTGCAGTGCTGTCTAGAGCCTTGAGTTTGGTTGTTCAGAGCACCTGCCAGTTACTGAGGACGGTGGTTTGTAGATTGGCTTGATCAAACACAGAAGGGGCCCAGGGTAGTGGTCCACTATCAAAAGGGCAAACTTTCCCAGAAAGTGACAAAACTTTTTTTTTTTTTTTCCATCCTCGGAAAACCTGTTCCAGAAGGGGGCTAAACTGTTGGTTGAGAAATCATCACAATGGAAAGAGAGTACAGGACTGAGCTTTTTAGCGTTGCTTTTTCAGGCAGCACACCACATTTTGTTTGGCGTTAGTTGTTGAACACATTTTCCGTTGCTTTCCTCATTGCATTGCAATGAGAAGATAAGGATTGTGTTGTTACTTATTGCTAGGAAGAGGTTTTGTTTTTGTTTTTTTTAATGCGTTTTCATTTTTAAATCCAGCTTCCCGCCGAGTGCACATTTTTGTCAGTAAAGTGTATCTTCAAGGTCATGGGATTGTCTTGAGGAGGCGCTGCGGCTTTGATGGCCAGGGGAGCGGTAATCTCTAAGGGAAATGGGAGCTTGGTTATCAGTTCTCTTTAATACTCACGTTTGAACTGAGTAACTTGAGGTTTAGATGTGTCGCAGGCAGGTTTCAGGCAGCACTCACCACCTTAGAATGTAGAAGCCTCTCAAGTTTCGGCATCGACGCGTGAGTTTCCTTGCTAATGATGGGGAAACCGACGTCTATGGCCACAAAGGCTTACTGGGGGGGGGGGGGGGGGGTCAGGACCAAGTGGTTCGTGCAAATCAGTGCACTTGACACACAGCTGGGCAAGATAGCTATCCCGTTTCCAACCAAGGGAGACCGAGGCACAGTGCACACAGCATATTTCATTATAGAAAGGAATGTGACTAAGTAGCACATTCCTGGTTTGCGCACTTCTAGATGGCTTATGTATTTACATCATGTTGAAAACAAATCTTTGACTAATAGAGCCAGCTATGCAGGATACCATTGTAATATCTCATGCCAAGACTAATGTAAGATGCAACTATCTTATTTCTAACGACTTTGAATAATTTCAGACAGCGTTTTAACAATATTTTTATCTCTCAACTCTCTTATGTAAATGCCAATAGGTATCAACGCAAATAGAAATAATACTAGAGATCTTAAAAGAACATCACTTTTATCCCTTTGTATCGACTTTCTGTCTTGTTCATATGAGAAGGCACATCTCTTTCATAAAAGAAAATGAAGTGGTCGTGCACAGTTTTACAAAGGGAAAGCATAATGTATTTATCAATTATTAATCATAAATTACTAAGTTAATAAATTAAGAGCTAGTTTGGTGAGCATCGGAAAATTCAGAAATTTTATGAGAGGTGAATTCCCTAATTTAAAAAAAAAATCTCTTACTCAAAGGCCCTAATGCTTCTTGCAGTGAAATATCTTTGAAGCCAGTCTTAACTAGTTTAGCACATTCCTTCCAGGTCAGCTGACATTCCCTCACAGATGTGAAACTCTGAAGCACCTATAGACTTTTTAATATGAGAATGCCCACATGTTCCACGGTGGAATTTATACTCTCTTAAGACTTGGGAAGAAGATTGGAAGAAAATAATAAAACGTTATCTGTCTTTTGCTGGTAGAATTTTAGGTCCTTTTCTTTTTACTTTTCCAAATTGTGTGCTATTTGCATGTAGTGATAAAAAGTAAAGTGAAAAAACACTTTTGCTGAGTAAGTCTTTTCCCCTACTCAGCCTACCCAGATAAAAATGTATTCTGTGTCTATTCAGCTGCATAAGTGCTTTTTTATCTTTCTGACATTGTTTTGAATTGATATTATCTATTACCTTTGTTCCAATTAATACCAAACATAGCTGTTTCTCAGCAGATTTTCTGCTGAAAATGAATTTTCTTTCTGTTTGGCTTAGAATAAAATTCATAAATGTCTTGAAAACTTGATCCTTCACAATGATGTATCCTAACTAACTAGTATTCTTTAAATTTAAAAATATATTTGGGTTATTTACGTATGTTCATAATATAGGCATTTTAGATATGGCTTGTATATGTGAATTCTAAGATTCATGGTAAGTTCATCTTCAGATCTTTATATTAAGTTTCAAGTCTTCATATTAAGTTTATTTTCAAAACCCTTTTAAAAGTACACATCTTTTTAACAAAACCGAAGTCAGTGGCGCTTAGCATGATTGTATATTTTCACTGTAATAAATTTTCATAGTAATAAATTTACATCTCCTGTGATTGAGCTTCTGTCTCCAGTTTATGTTATGACTAGGAATTTGGGTCACCTCATCTGAATAGGCCAGCTACCTCATTTATATTACAGAAAATTTGTCTACCTTGTGGGCTAGTGTGTGACCCGAACACTATGTAATCTCAGGAAATTAAAACCCATTAAGACTGATTTGTTTGCAGCCCTTCATATGACATGTTGCCAAGGGCATTGATTTGGGTTTGCAATTTAATTACCTATGGAACAAATCACTTCTATTAAATAGTAATATTTGTAGTTAATGCATGAAAAAAACATGTATTCTAGTAGGCAATATCTTTGGTAATAAGGAAGTACAGTACTTTTGAATTGTCAGAAACCAAGAACTTACTTCTCCTAGCAAAGAGATATTTATAATTATCACTGTTGGGTTTACTTCGAATTTTCTGTCTCTTCTTGGTTTGATAAAACATGTTTGCTTTCAATTTTAGCTCCTGGCTGAAGCATGGTTATCAGGACTTCCTGATTATCTACACTGCCTTGTAGGACTCTACCTCAAAAACCTGTCAGCCAACCACTAACCCTGTGGGTCACAACCCATTTGGGGGTCAAATGACCCTTTCACAGTGGTTGCATATCAGATATTCTACATATCAGATAGTTACATTATTATTCATAAACATAACAAAGTTACAGTTAAGTAGCAATGAAAAAAATTAAATAAATTAAAAAAATTAAAAAAAAACGAAGTAGCAACGAAAATAATTTTATGTGGGTGACACCACACCTGTATCAAAGGGTCTCAGTATCCAGAAGGTTGAGTACCACTGTACTAAACCAAAACAGGGCTCTTCATGTATTCTGAGGCCATCTTTATGAGCCTTTTCCTAGTCATCCTCATCTTAGGTCATCCTTCCACATCCTTCTAAATAAGCAAGATGTGGAGGTAGAAACTGTCTATGTGCGTGTGTTTAATTCAGGCTCAACAAGTTCTCTCATGGAGTTGTAATCCTAAAGAGCAATATAAAAATAAGACTTGACATGGTGCACCTGGATTAAATACATACATATAGACTTGTTATGTGGAAGGGTGTAAAGGCTGACCCCAGATGAAAACGCGTCATACTGTCCAAACGTGATTGCTGAGACAGGAAGTGAGTGAGACAAGTTAGCAGCTTTTTTTGTGAGGTTCTTGGTTTGGTTTTGGAAAACTTTGTCACAATTAGCAGAGCCATGACTCCTTGCATATATCTTAGAAAATATTTTACAGAAGATAATGATAATTGAGTAGAGCAAAAATCTTAGATGGTAATGATCTACAATTGTCTCTTACTTTATCATTTTTTTTAATTTTTCTTTCTACTCCATGTTCACATAGTATCATAATTTTAACAGTCAAAAATATTTATAAAATACAGAAAATTTTAGAATGTAAAAGTTTATCACAGGCATTTACTTTTTATGACAACATTATACCACCTAGTCTTGACTTTTCAGTATTTTTTTTACATTTTATTCAATTTGTCATCCATGAGAGAATTTTTAAGAAAGGATTTCACTTCAAAATGTTACTTTAGTAGACTATATGATGATAAATTTCCAGATCATCATTTGGACTAAATGAGCATAATTCAAGAGGGTGGGAAGTACAAGTATTGAGATAAACTGATTTTAATGAAAGCTGGTATAATGGTGACTTCTGAAAGTTACTGAACTTCTCTTACTAAATCCCCACAGTCTGGGGAGTAGCCATCATGCTCTCCCAGGAGACTGTTCAGTGTCAGTACAATCCGCGACATTCAGAAGAGATAACACATCACCTTGCCTTCAGGGACTCGATAAGCAAGTGGAGTAAGTAATTATGTCCAACTGGAGTAGCGTGCATGGTGTTATAGATTAAAGGAGACATTTTACAGTGCCTGGAGAAGCAGACGCTTTCCTGATCAATATTTTTACATGGCTGACCTTTGCAGGATTGGCAGATGTTTGAGAAGTGCTGATCATAGCGTCACCAGAAGGGAGTCGGAACCCTACTCTCCTAAAATCAGTAGCAAGCCTCGGCCTGTGGGCCTTGCAATCACTCCTTCTTGAGTCCTATGCCTTTGTTTCTGCCTAGTCACTTGACAGATAGCTGTTGACTGGTTATTGCGAGCCAGCCATTGGGTAGGATAATTGCTCACCGTGGTGAGCATCTGTCATCAGCCCTTGTATCACTTACAGGATGCTGTTCAAATGCACATGCATACATGTATACATACATACATACATACATGTATACACTGGTTCTAACCGTAGTCTGTCCCAGCACCTGTCAACAGCTGATAGTTGGGGTATAAGACCAGGCTACTTTGTTTTCCACTAAGAAGCAATTTCCCGACATTTTGTTTTAGTGTCTGTACTGACCTCTTTATATAGCAGTAGCCTGTTCTCGGAACCCCCGCCCTTACTTCTCTTCTCTTAATAATCATGCTTGAAACCTGCAA